TATCCAGAAAATAACAAGTTGTTGATGTGATCTCTATTAATGGTTTCCCTTTTGCTGTTGCATCATACATGGTTCTCAATACTATGTTTGTATGTGATTCAAAACTTCGTGTTAATTTAAACATATGTAAATACATTTTGGATGTAGTAATGAAGGCAGTCACCAATGTTATCCATGTTATGTTTGGTTTCTTTAGATGCTCAATGCATCATCTCCAGTGAATGGCCAGGCTTGATATCTATTCATCTTGATGTTTGTTATGATCTGCACTCTAGAATTTAGACAAGATTTCTAGGTTCTTTTGTTTTCTTCTAGAGGACTTTATGAAAGTTTGATGAACTCAATACATTAGTGTAAAATGTGTTGTGCTGTATTGATAAGTCAATTTTGAACAAGCTCTGTTGTAAGTGCATAGATATAAAAATAGATATAATATGTGGAACTTTAGCTTGGGCTTCTTTGGAAGGCTGAATGCTTGACGGGGCTGCCACAAATTTTTCATTTTTATGATAGTTTGTTGGTACTTGATCATAAAAGACCAATGGCCTTTTTCCAAATGTTCAACCCAGCTTAGTCAAGCTTGAAGATTGTTTATTTGATGAAACTTTTAATAGTATAGGAAGTTATTAAAAAGAAATTATTGAGTTTAAAGTCTGTTGAGTTGAAATAGTATGTGGTAAATATGTGTAGCTAACAACAATGCTGCAGGAATTACTGGGAAGTATAGTCAAAATTTTTTCTATAATTTTGAGAGTTCTTTTTGCTGTAGTTATCATTAAGCAATAACAAAAAGGTTATTTTAATGTGGCCTTGAGTTGACATGAATGCAGTTATGGCATCTGGAGTTAAATTTTTCAAGCTAGTATGATTATTTTGTCAGGTGACAAATCCATGGCTTCCTTTTCATTTTAAAGATAGAAAATGATACTCTTGTGCTAGTTATAAGCTCTTTTCTGGATGCCAATTCATGGCTTTCTTTTGATCTCTTTATCTCTTTCCTTAAAAATTGAATTATCTAGTTAAATGCATAATCATTCTTCAAGATGTAGTATCTGTTATGACTTGATCTTTTTGTCACATAGGATTATGGAGAAGTGACCGTAAGTGGTGTTTGTTCTCTTTTCAATTGCACTGCACTTGAAGATCTCTTGCTGCGGCATAATGTGAGTATTTATCACTGCTCATTCTGTTATAGTTTGCATGCACGCCCTTTTCTTTGGTATTGTAATGAGATAGTTATATCTATTATATATTTTACTATCTAACAATTTTCTTTTATCTTGTATAATTACTTTTTTTGAGCAAGGAGTCGCGCTACAATAACAAGGATCGTAAAAAATCATTTCCACAGTCCAAGGCCGACACGGAAGAAAGTCCTTAATGACGTAAAGGACTTAATGTTTAAAAAATTTCAGGTACTATATTTGTCATTCAATTAACTTATAGCTTCTTGTTTTTAATTAATTTGTATCAATTTTTTTATTTACTCTATTATTTTGATGTAGGAAAAATGTGTTTGGCCTACAAATCAAAATGTTTTGGTTCGACGGATATGGGATAAAATTTGTTCTAATTAATTAAGAAACAAGCTTTTAGAATAGAGGAACAAAGCAACCACAAATGCCAAAACAGGTGACATTAGGGATTGCGAAGGCATGTCAAGGGAATGGATCACAAATAAAATTTGGGATGCCTTTATCGATATGGTATGAGATATAGAAAAATGGCGAAACAAATTGGGAAAAGCAAGGCAAAATCACTTATGATGATTTACATTTACGTTTATATTTGTTTGATATTTTTAAATATTGTGTATTTGTGACTATTTTTAGTGGTATGAACTTGACTTTGAATTTTAGTTTTTAACGCGTGTTTTTTCTTATAAATTTTGAATGTGAATTTTGGATGTCAATTGATGATTTAGTCATCATTGATAAAATTTTGAATGTGAATTTTGGATGTCAATTGAGAAAAGCAAGGCAAAATCATTTATAATGATTTAGTTTTATGTTTACATTTGTTTGACGTTTTAAAATATTGTGTGTTTATGACGAATTTTAATGGTATGAACTTGACTTTGAATTTTAGTTTTTAATGCTTGTTTTTTCTTATAAATTTTGAATGTGAATTTTGAATGTCAATTTATAATTTAGTCATCATTGACAAAATTTAGAGATTTTGGTTGGTAATTTTTGTTGGAAAGGCATTACCGACAAAACATTTCATTGGAAATTTTCAATGAAATTTCTTTGGAACAACATTTCCAACTGAAATTTTGTTGGAAATGCTTTTCCAACAGAATTTCGTGATAAATTTTCAAATTTCATTGGAAATTTCTGATAGAATATTACGTTGGAAAGACAGTTCCAATAGAATTTCGTTGTAAACTTTTGACGGAATTTCATTGGAATTACTTTTTCAACAGAACATTTTGTGGAAACTTTTCATTGAAAATTTTCAACAAAATTCCATCGAAACTGTTTTTCCAGCGGAATATTCCATTGGAATTTTAAACTTGTCCAATGGAATTGATGTAATATAGTGTTTGGAATTATATACTTTTTTTGACGAAATTATGTATTTTTTTCACTAGATTTCAGATTATACTTTTACCGACGGAATTTTCAATAGAAATTTTTGATGAAAATCCATTGCATAAAAGCATTTTCAACGGAATTTTAACTTTTCTCAATGAAAAATTCCATTAGAAAAGCTTGATTTTTGGTAGTGTTTCATTGTCTGCCTTTCTTTTTAACTGCTACTCTCTTCTTTTCTTTTCTACGTCCTTTTTTTTTTTTCTTCTTTGAAGGCTTTTTTTTAAAAAAAAGTTTGTTCCTTGCTTTTGTTTTTCTTTTGTTCATTTTCTTTAGTGTTATCCATTATTTGAGTGTTTTTTTTCTTTTTTCTATGATCAAATGAATACATGCCCTTAATTGGCTTGATCCCACTCTAATGGTGGCTTTTGTCGTGTTTCTTTTTAGGGCACGATAGTAGTTTGATCTCGCTGTGGTTGTTTTCCGTTTAGGTATGATTGGCTGCATGCTTTTATTGAATTTTCTTATTGAATCTTTATTGATGGAGCTAGCCATAGATTCCAAGAAAATATGCCTTTTTTTGTGGTCAGATGGTTGATACCATGTTTCCAAATCTATGCAGGGAACAGAATAAAGTGCACTTGAGTCAAATGATGATGGTCTATATGATAGGTGGCTACAAAATGAAAATGAAAACATCCTTGTTGAGAATATGAATGATAAAAGATCAAGATTCAACTTTGCAGAGAAACCTTGGGCAAATGATTCATCATTTTCTAATATTGTAGAGGTAAGTTAACAAGAGCCAACAGCACCTAATGCAGATGTGCATGTGAGAGGCAAGGATGAAATAATGGTTCAACCCTGGCACTCTCAAGAATCAATTCAACAGACTCAGGAAATTGTTTTTGCCAAAGGTGTCATGAGTCTTGTGGTTGCTAGAAATCTTGAGGGCACGTATTGGTCGATAAAGTTGATGGTTTTGATAATGTTCATGGAAACACATCCTCGACCATGTCAAATGTCGAGAAGGTTAATGCATCTATGGCTCATTTTGATAGTGACTCATTTATGGACTCATTTCCTGATATTGTTGATGTCGATCCAGACACTAGTTCAGACTAGGAACTAAGGTGAGAAGAATGATAATCCTTGTACTATTTCTCTGTTAAAGTGAAAAATCCATGTTAGAAATATTAATGGTGTGATCTTGTGTTTGCCTTGTTCTGATTACTTTGACTTGCAATCTTCTCCCAGTTGTGCTTATAAGTAAACTGAGAGGAAGGCAAGAAGGAGAAGAGCAAATATTTCCTTTCTTTCTTTCGTTTTAAGTTAACACTAGGTTTAGGAAAATGGACAGTATTTGTCAATCACGAGGCTTGAGAAGGACTTGTAGTCGGAGGGGATAACTGGTATGTTTGGATTGACATAGGAGTTAGAACTGATATAAAGAGAAAGTTTGTTCTTGCTAAAAAGGAAAAATAATATGATTGACTCCTGTTGAGCAAGCGATGTGTGGCCTTTGCAACAAAGGATGGCAATGATTGAGCCACAAAAACAATCATTAACTATCCTTTGGAGCTATTTTTACTCATAATTTTACACCCCAAAACTTATTTTCTTTGTATTGTAGGTAGTGGGGTGACTTTTAATATTTTAAACTTTCCTCTTTTTTCTCACATCAACATCACATTTTCACATTTTTTAATATTTAGCTCAATTTAAATTTCCTAAAATAATATACATGCATAATAATGAGGGTTGCGAAATTGAAAATTTTATTTTAAGGCTAAGCTCAATTATTACGTAGTTAAACAAAGAAAAAAAAATTAGGCTCAAAAAAGGTATATTAGGGGTAAAAGTTTAACAAGGCAGGCTTTTTAAGCTCAAATGGTCCAAAAATAGCCTAAATCATGTGCCTAACTAAGTATTGTTAAAGATTTTGCCTAAAGAGAAAATCAAGTAAATTCTAGAATTCATGACATAATCAACAATTCACATCAATATAAATCTTCTCTAAATACTCAGAATAATTCAAAGTAAAAGATATAGTGTTTAAAATTATGAAAATCACATCCTAACAATGATACTTAACAAAAGACTTTAGCATGAATCCAAACAAAAACCTTTTTCATCAAAAGGAAAAAATTTAAGACAACTAGTTATCATCATTGGAAAGAGAAATCATCGAAAAAAATTGGCACAATTTTACTCCAAATTTTTAAAATTCAGACAAATAATAAATTCATTTATCAACTAATCTTAAATTATTTATAAATCTCGATAAACATGCAAATAAAATTAAATCTAAAACTTCCACAAAATATTCATCACTAGAAAAATTAATTCAACCTCCTTAAATTTAAACTAAACATTATCCTCAACGTTAGAAAAAATAAAAGAAAGGTAAAAAATACTCTCTTGATTGTTGGATAAACCTGGTGAAGCTTTATTCCTCCTCTACCTTATAGTCGTCTTCCTCATTCTACCTTTTAGGAGGAATGTTTTTTTTTTTACTACAAAAAGAAAATAAATAAAAATTAATGTAGAGAAATAAAACAAATAAAAACAACAAAAAAGACAACAAGGGGGTTTTATTGGAAAATGGATTGCCATTTGTTGGCAGCCCATACTATGGAGGGGGAGGAGGGGGGAAGGGTTATGGGGAGTGGGCTTCCCATTCATGGTAGCCCACAGCAAGGGGGGTTTATGGGGTAGTGGGCTGTCTATTGTTGGTAGCCCACATTATAGGGGGCCGTGACCTACCTTTTAGTGGGAGCCGTGGCCAACATCATAAAAGGCTGTGAGGCTACGACCTTGCTGTTGGAGAGTCGCGGCTTCTATGGGTGTTTTTTTTTCAATTTTTTTCAAGCGGGGTTGCAACCTACAGCCTAGTGGGCCACGAATCCGTCAATTGGAGTTTGTTGGGCCACAACCACCTTAGTGAGAGCCACGACTTACCCTATTTTTAAGAATTTTTTTTTCAATTTTTTTACATTTTTAAGAGAGCTTTAAATGTACTTACAAAATAAAAATAAAACCATAATACTTTAATAAATAAATAAAAAAAATAAAAAAAACAAACAAAAGTAAGTTTGAGTGCTTGGGTTGCCTCTTAAAAAGTACTTCAGTCACTAGCTTAACTATGGCACTACTTTTTACACTACTTTATATGGTTTGAGACTTTTTTTATTGACCTTGATTGCATTGATAAGGCCACTATAAATCTCAATAACACCATAAGGATGAATATTTACCACATTAAAAGTGTTCCCCCAATATGGTTGAAGATTCTACGGCAAAATATGGAGTTGTGAATAAAAAAAAACTACTCGTTGTCCAACCACAAAATCAAGATGATTGAAAAGTGGTGGTGGTTTTGTCTCAAGAGTTGGTATCTACTTCATTGAAGGTGGTGGACTAGGCCTACTTTTATCCTCATTAACTAAATCCACTTTATAACAACTGTCTATATAGAGACATTGTGTTGCATTGAACAAATTAAATACCACTTCTTTTTCTACAACTTTGAAAGTTATTTTGTCATTCTTTACATCAATAATTGCTCTAGCTGTAGCTAAAAATGGTCTCCTTCCCATTGTGTCACTTGCTAAGTTTGTGTGGCCTTTCGCCTTCCAATTTGGTTAGTTTGTAAAATATGTCATGCACAATGTATTATTGGAATTGTGTAAGGGTTGTTATGTGAGAACCTGATTTGATGGCCAATGTATGGCCTTTAAATACTTGTATGGATTGTGAGCCAGGGATAATGTAATCTCAAAAACAGGCGTTGTCTCTAGAAAATATTCTTTATCGATTCATTGTATGATTATATATATATCCGTTTTAATTTGTGAAAAAATTAAATAAGTAGAAGATAAACAAATCCTTAAAAATATATTATTTAAATCATAACATCTGATATTATCTAATTATAACATTAAGAGCCTGAAATTGCTCTTTTTCTTTCACTAAAATTCTTCTTTTATCAAACACCTACAAAATCACAAATAAATTAATAACAATCTATTTTAACCACATTAATACTAAATTAAGCATAAAATTAATTAAAATTAGATTGACTCGCCTAAATTAACTAATTTAAAATAATTAAATAAAACTTACTAATTTTTATACATTACTATAAGAACTAAGTTAAATTATTATCAAAATTAAATTCAAATAACTCTATATCATAGAGTTATCAATAAACAAATAAGAGATATTCCTCTCTACAATAATTTAGTTGCACAACGACCTTCATTATGAGCATGTTTTCTGTGAATTTGTTGTACAAGTACTTGTAGGCAATCCCTCACAACAAGGGTCTAGCTTAAACTACTTTGGTTGGTTAGACTTGAAGGCTTTGTGCTCCTCCTTTCTTGTGTATACTGTTATTGTGTAACTCAAAACAATTTTGAGTCTAAGCATTTATTTTATTTTCAAGTAAATTATTTTTCAGAAAAAATTTTTCCATTGTTAATTGTTTGGAAGGGAGAATATATTTTTCCTATAAAACATTTTATGGATCAATGAAAAGATACTGAAGGTATACCTAGTCTTAAGTTTATTTTTAAATTGACCTTATAATCTACTCTATGTTGTTTTACAAATGGTTACTATTTATTGCTTTTTGTCTATTTATAATTTTTATATACAAATTCATATGTAACCTTGTATACCAAAAACATAAACATCCACCATAATGGTTAAAACTTGAGAGAATCCATCTTTAAATGAGTTTAGTAAGACTTATAAAATAAATTAATTTTTTTTGTGTAACTCCAAATCTTTTATATACAAAAAATGCATTAAGTAATATGACTCTAGTTGTAGTTTACTTGAATGATAATCAAATTCATGTTAACTTCGATTTTACATTTTACATAAATTAGCATTTGTTATAATTTACGTATGTTGTGCATAAATATATATCTATATATATTAAATAATCATATTATATATAATTTTTTTAAAACATAATGTTAATTTGAAGTATAAGTAATTAAAAATTTGTCATATTAATTTATAAATTATTTAATAATATTAGAATTAAAAATGTAAAGATAGTTCAAAATTTATAAACTATATCAATTAAATAAAAATATAATGAATTTAATTAATAAAATTTTAATTTACCTGGAATTACTTGAAAGGAAAATTCAAAATTAAAAATTATACCAAAAATTAATTTCCAATAATAATTTAAAAATATAAAAATAGTTATTTTTTAATTGAAATTTGAAAATATAATCGATGATGTTGGGAAAAAATCTATATAAATCAGTGCTTCAAAAATCTTATATAAATTATAAAAAGATAAATAATATAATCTGTTAATTCATGATTTGGTTTCAAAATGAGAACTCTTAAAGCTTGAAAATGAAAGGCCACAGCAAAAAACGAAAAAGAAAAGGTTCAATAAATATCAGCCATTTTCGTCTTGAAAATTCCGTAACAATATCTCTACACCATTACTAGTTTTGCATCACCGTCTCCATTACCCCATCTTATAGCAATGCTTTGCTGTCAATTGAAAATTCTCTCATCCTATAGCAATGCTTTTCTCTCAATTGAAAATTCTCGCAACATAGCACAGGCTGGTGCATGTTCGCATGCAACAATTCCACATATATCTCCAGTGCTGCAACATCTACTCATTTGTAAAACTCAAAGTCAGTATCAGGCTTCTTGACGTTCGTTCTGTAACCCTTTTCAAAGTCCTTGGGAAGTATGACATATCGGTTCTTCCGAACTGCATGCATTCCGGCTTCTTGACAGATTGCTGCAATCTGTAGACAGACATCCAGTTACAACCAGTATGAATCAAACAGGCTTGCCAAATAATGAGTCAAAAAGATTTGTGACCTAAACTAGAGAGATAAATAGGAAAGGTGCTCTAGAGTTCCACAACTAACCTCCGCAGCACTAATTTTATCAGGCCGAGAAACATAATCTTCCAAGTCCACCTCATCACTTAGATTCATTTTAGCAGTGCAGACCTATGAAATGGAAACATCACCTTAAACACAGCCAATAGGGCAAAACAAAACATTTCCTTATCACAACATAACCAGGACGGAAAGAAATGTACAAAAGAAAAATATGCCACAGCGAAAGACAATCACAAATCACAGAGAAATGTACTAAAGACAATAATGACATAGGCATTGGCAAACATTGCCCTACTTGCCTGGAAAACAAGCCTCTTCTGCCTTCTATCAGGTAAAGGGAATTCAATCTTTCGGTCAAGCCTTCCTGGACGAAGAAGTGCAGGGTCCAAAGTGTCTGCTCGATTGGTTGCCATTATAACCTTAACATTCACCGTCTGATCGAATCCATCCATCTACAAAGTTGATTGCAAAAGCAATAGTTTAGAAAAAAGAAAGGGAGAAAAAGGTTAACTAAATTTAAATATCAACTTCCTCAGATAGTTTGTAGGATAATATTCTATGCACCATCCTTTGACATGTCAACAAATTCCTCAAGAGATAAATACCTGATTCAGAAGTTCCATGAGGATTCTCTGAACTTCTCTATCAGCACCAGTTTGAGCATCAAACCTAGCAGTAGCAATGGCATCTACCTCATCAATAAAGATAATAGCTGGAGCATTCTCTTTAGCAAGACGGAAGACATCACGAACCATCCGTGGGCCCTAAAACAAAACAGTGGTCAAAATATTATTATCCACCAAAAGAAGATTAAGAGAGCGGCCAATAACTGACAAAATCAGTAAAAAAGAATATCAAGTTTCACTGCAGGCAACTAGGTCTTAATTAAGTACTGAATGATGAATTTAATATTAACATTTAAAAGAAAAATGACTACTAGATCCCTACCTCACCCAAATACTTTTGAACAAATTCAGATCCAACAACTCTAATGAAGGCTGCAGTTGTATGGTTAGCAACAGCCTTTGCAAGCATGGTTTTTCCAGTGCCAGGGGGACCATAGAGTAAAACACCACGAGGAGGGTCTATCCCAATCTGTTTGTAGAGCTCATGATGAGTCAATGGTAACTCCACTGCCTCACGAATTTCCTGCTTTTGAATGTCACATCCTCCAATATCCTAAACAACCAAAAACATAGCACATTAGTAATATTTATTCCAAGAAAAAAAGATACAGGAACTCAAAGAGTGTCCCACTAATGTACCATAGCAGAAGACTGACTTAAGGTATCAAATATGATTTATGGTTCAAATATGTCCTTGATGTCTACAAAGGTTCCAAGTTGATAGTTGAAAAATGAACTTAAATTTAAGACCAGCATTTCTTTATCAGAAGAAAAAAAAGTACTGACAAGAATCAAAACAATGCAACATTTCAACAAAGTTCAACAGAGACAAGGCAACTAAAATACAAATGAGTAAATCTTTTTCTATTAACAATCATACAAGACAAATGATGCCAAGATCCCCCCACAATATATTGAAGGAAACATATAGCATTTTCCATACAATAGTTTTATCAGTTGATTTCCAAGATTCCATACACAAACAGACAACTGCAAATGCAAGAAACTCCAAATATCATATGTCTTGTTATAAAATGAAATAAACCTCTCAAGCAAGAAATCCTATCCTTCAACTCATCCTACATGTAAAGAATCATTGTTTGATATAAAAACCACGAATAAAGGCACACGTTCATTGCAGAGCCCATCAGTTCTATAGAACATGATCTTTCGGGAGTCCTAACAGATTAATTATTCCAGAACATCTAACACAACTAATAATCACAGGCCAACTAGGGAAGTATTAAGCCTACTTTAGTTATTATGCGCACAATCATACCCTCCTTTACATCAAGTAATAGAGTATGGGGGATAAGGTAATATGTTACCTACTGATAATCAATAAGGCATATAGAAACAAAAGTGAAAGCAATTCGATTTCCCATGTAACAGATGGAATTAACTCCATTTACACTCCAGCTTGAGGCCTAGCCTATGTTTACCTGGCTAAAATCCAATAAGGCAATTCAAAGAAGCTCTTAGAACATAAAAGATTGTCTAATATATAAAAAGCCTCAGTATTAAAAATCAAATATACAAAAATGAAAGTGGAAAACGGACTCAAACCGTATTCAATTCTTTTCCTTTGGGCATTAATGCTGCAAGCAAATAAACCACTAAATAAAAATTAAAAAATCAATTTCTGTTCAATGGAAGTACTATGTGTATCACATTTTTCAGCACAACTAACCCTTTTTCAATCATTCCCCTTAGCTAATAGTTAACCCAAAATCTCATATTCTTCAAAGTGGCATATATAGGAAGCCAAAAAAAAACCCTAATCTCTGATTGCGTATATATCAATTAATAAATTCTTCGACTTAATAATGAAAGCAATCACAAAACTAAAGGAACGAACCTGGCACTGAAAACAATCACTAAGCCCCATGCTTTAAACTTTCCCCTTATCCAAGAATTAACCCAAAGTCCACTTACTCTAAAAAGAAAGGAAGCAAACCCTAATCCCTAACCTGCCATCGCAAATTGCAAAATCCTAAATGCAAAAAAATCAATAAAGAACTCAACTTTAGAATAGAAATAAAAAGAAAAGAAAAGAAACAAACGTTGTAAGTAACATCGGGCTTCTCGGACTGGCTAAGCAAAGAAATGCTGGAATCGGCCTCGGGAGGCAACACGTCGACCAGAGCATTGGAGTGACGGTGAAGAGCCACCGAAGCCGAGGGCTTTAGCAGCTCTCTGTTGATGGTGCTCAATATCCTCACATAATAATTGGAGCCCGTGGTGGACCCCACGATTCCGTTGTTTTGATCCACCATTTCCATGAACTGCCCTATGACCAGCGGCACCGACTGAATCCGCTTGACTTCCTCCTGGGCCCGCAACAGCTCTCTCTTGAGATTCTTCTGCTCGTCCTTCACGTACTCTTCTTGGATGTCTATGAACTCCAGCTGCCTCTGGAGGGATTTCAGCCTGCTGTACAGATCGTCCTCCTCGGTACCCGTGGGATCCACCGCCAGGGCCAGCCCAAGGTCGGATCTTGTGCTGGGGAACGGCGGCTCCGCCGAGGGTTTAGGTTCCACCACCATCGCCGAGGCTGCCATTGCTTTCTTCGACTCGGAGTTTGGATTGGAGAGCAAGAAAAGAAGAAAACAAAATGTACAATTCAAGGCAAAGGGCGTCCTTCGGTTTTTATAGGGTGAATTCTAGAGTAAGGATAACTTTACTCTAACTCTAAGACCAATTAAAATAATTTATAAAAATAAAATAAAAACCTATTTAACAGGTTAAAATAATAAAAAAATAATAAAAAATATTATTATTTTTGATATTAACATTATATCTAATTAATTTAATTCAATTAAAATTATTATTATGACCCATTATACTAAATCTCAAGCGTTTACGTTAATATTTTAATAATATTTATTTTATTTTTATAATATTTTATGTTAAGTCTTATCATTTTGCATCAAGGTTTTTCAATTATTAATTTTCACAATAATTATGTTTATCTTTATTATTATTTATTCATAGATAAAAACTTGTAAGTCATAAAATACTTTAAATTTGAGAATAAAAATTTAAATGTTTAATTTCTTGAAAAATTATATTTATTTGATATAATTAACTTGTTACATTAAATCTCACACATTTTTATTAATATTTTGACAATGTTTTTTCCATTTTTATAGTTTTTTACGTTAATTCTTATAACTTTATGTCAAGATTTTTTAACTATTAATTTTCAATATAATTCTTTTTATCAAATATTGACTTGATATAAAGCAGTAAAAATTAACATAAAAATTTATAAAAGTAGAATAAAGATTGTTAAAATATTAATGTGAATATGTGAGATTTAACATAACAAGTCAATTATATCAAATAAATATATTTTTCAAAAAAATTATACATTAAAATTTTTATTCTCTAGTTTAAAATGTTTTACGGTTTACAAATTTTAATCTATAAATGAAAAATAGTAAAGATAAAAAAAATTATAATGAAAATTACTAGTTGAAAAAATATTAATGTAAATGTGTGAGATTTAACATAACAAGTTAATTATGTCAAATAAGCATTATTTTTATAAAAATTAAATATTTAAATTTTTATTCTCAAGTTTAAAGTGTTTCACAGCTTGCAAATTTTAATCATGCATGAATGATAGTAAAGATTAAAATAATTATAGTAAAAATTAATAGTTAAAAAATCTTGACGTAAAATGATAAGAATTAACGTAAAATATTATAAAGGTGGAATAAGCATCATCAAAATATTGATGTAAATGTATGATATTTAATATAAAAAGTTAATTATGTCAAATAAATATAATTTTCAGAAAAATTAAATATTTAAATTTTTATTTTCGAGTTTGAAGTATTTTATATCTTACAAATTTTAATCTATGCATGAATAACAATAAAGGTAAAAATAATTATAATGAAAGTTAGCAGGTTAAAAATTTTGACGAGAAAAGTTGTAAGAATTAACTTAAAAAATTATAAAGATGAAACAAGAATTATAAAAATATTGACGTAAATATGTGACATTTAATGTAACATAACAATTAAATTAAAATAAATTTAATTTTTGTTAAAATTAAAAATTTAAATATTTATTATTGAGCTAAAAGTATTTAATAGTTTATAAATTTTAATTTATAAATGAATAATAATAAAAATAAAAATAGTTATAGCTAAAATATTGATATATTAAACTAAAATTTTATTATAATATTTATTTAAAAATTTCTCAATGGTTAATATTTTTTAGTTGAGAATATAATTGTAAATGATTAATTCTCATAAAAATTCAGTTATTTTCTTTGTTAGTTTTTCTGCTTTAATCAATTATTTGGGTTAATTCTTTCCTTTTAATTATCATTTTTATTTTTATTTATTTTTGATTATTTAAGTCTTTTCTTAACCTAGCTATCAGGTAAACAGGTTGCAAATTTTTTTATTGATCAATAGTTGAAAATAAACCCTTTAAATCTAATGGTTCTTATTTGTAGGGTTACATTAATGTTAGTCTTACTGTAGAATCTGCCTTTTTATAGTCACCAATACTAGTAGTACCTTCAAGGTTTATAAATGTTATTGACATTAAACTACATTGTTAACCTGATCAAACCTCTTGACTTCAACGCAATATGCTAGAAACAAGCCTCAGGGCCTTGCGGGTCCAAAAGTCAAGAACAAAAGAGCTCGACGCAACCTTAGAGATAGGTCATGGGCCTAAAAAGTATTCTTTATTGATTTATTAGATGATTATATATATGTACCTTTTTTTAATTTATGAAAAAATTGAATAGGTATAAGATAAACAAATATTTAAAAATATATTATTTAAATCATAACATCTGATATTATCTAATAATAACATTAAATATTTTAATTTTATGATACATTAAATAATCTATTACTTATATATAAAAGGAAGGTCAAAAAAAGCCCTCATGTTTGGCCACTTTTTTCTTCTTTTTGAGTGACACATTTTGGCCCTCTTTTATATGCCATGTGGACTGTAGGAAGTCCTCATAGAAATTGCCTCAATAGAGTTTTTCTTGGCCAAATCCCTAATTAAGTGCCATTGTCTTTTCTTCCTGTGTAGGGTAGCATGGGCAGCCTATTCTTTTCTTTTTTTTGTACAGACGCCCATTTTAGAAATTTCTCTTTTAACATCCTTTTGTATGTTTGTTTTTTTATTATACATTCAATTTTTTCTCTTTTTTTTTTTGCCTTTTGCTTTCTTTCTCTTTTTTATCCATCCCTTTCTTCTCTTTTCTCTCTTTACTACCATGAGTAGCAAATCTGGAGCAACGGTGGATGCGAAAGTATGGGGTTGAGGATTTTACACTCTTTACATAATCTTCCTTTTTGCTTTTTTCAACTTCATTTGTCTTTTCAAACCCAGCAAAATTGTGAAAGACCAACAAAACCTAATTACCTCTCACAAATCTCACTCCCAATCATAATCCCAATCCTGATCTCAACTTTTATAGGTGCGGTTTCAATATTTTCTCATGATTCTATTAATAGGTTATTATATTTGAGGCTCTTAAAGAAACAGGTCATTGTCTTTTTACAAGGAATTCAAGGGTAGATTGCCTTTATAATTTCTTCTTAACTTTTATAGATAACTGATGAAGAACTTTGGGGGTTCTTTTTTAGCCATTGTTTACGTCCATACGTCAAGCTTACAAGCAAGTGTAATGGTAAAATCTAAAATATCTTAGTTGTTATCTCACTCCTATAATCTCTCTTACATAGTTATTATTGTGCCATGACCTAAATCTGGGGGACAGGCACGAACGAGCTGGTCAGCAATCCCGTGAGAATCAAGGAAGCCTTCATAGTTAAGTCTTGATAACCACATATATAGTAAACAAAAGGCCTCATGAACAACATCATCTCATATAAACTTAAATCTTTTAGCATTCAACATTAGCCCCTTGACTCGTAATACCCCGACGTCGACATTACCCAAAATAATCTCAATGAGTGGCATCAAAGCACTATAAGCGGGAATCACAGGTGGGATTAGTGCCACCGTCCTTGCTTACCACCATCTGTGTAAGCACACAAATAGTCATAGGGGGACAAAAATCCACTCAACCACAAATTAGATCAACATCTGGAATTCATTCCTCGGACAGAAACACTAATCCACAAATAAGGCCAATGTGCCTTTATCATTCACAATTTCCTTATCAAACCTTAATTCACATTTATTGAGCTTCAATCATCTTAAGCTCAATTAGGTTTTAAGAGCCTCTAAATCTTCAATGCATCATTTAATCAAATCATCTCACATATCGTTTACCTAGGGTAACCTACTCTTAGGGTTTCATCATAGCCTCTAGACATTCTGGTTTAGGCACACACAACATATACTACCCATGTGGCTCACATCACAGTGCAACCACTCATAATTCACATATATACATGTCGTAACGTGGGGGCCCAAGAACCTAACAGTTAGACATAAAAAATTTAGAGAGTCGCCATCAATCTTTTTTTATATAGGTGCGATTGGCCACTTATTAAATTTGTTCTTCTTGATGAAGTCCTAAATTAATTTTAAGATCGCTTAAAGAACAAGAGTCAGTTTATGTATTGCAGAGTTGGGTTCGGGAGTACGATTATGCAAAGGGAAGGATTAACACCCCCGTGATGCCTGCTCCATGAACGAACCACTTAATCATATGTTATCCTATCAACCTTAACTTTTTACTTTTATTCTTATGTTTCTCTAATCCTTATTTATTTGTTTTATTTGTTATTTTATTTACAAATTAAAACATTTTATTCAATTTTACGGGTGAGACGCGCACATGATGCAATTGTGAAATGCATGGCATAAAATTTGGATAATGCCAAACAAAAACCATTTATGGGGTGTACTTCTCGAATTCGTCCATAACACCGGTGGGATCTGGGGGTATTCTTTCACTTAGAGAAATACTAAAAAAACTCACATTCGTAAGTTTAATGAGTAAATCCCATCATCGGGGTAATCGTTTGTATATAGAAACTATATTTTCATGAATGCAAACCTTAATACAAGCAGAAGCCTTTTATTAAGGATATTCTCCAAGCCCTCCCATCGTATTGGTGGGACTCAGAGGTATCCTGTCATCTAGAGAATTTTTTGAAGAAACTTACCTTTTTAAGCTTTTTCTAAAAATGCCATCATTGAGGCTTTGACTCGTGCACATAATACATCTACATGCCACGATATTTAACAATGTAGTAATGATGTGCGACATGCTACAAACCTCTATGTCCACTATGGATCATTGTCTATATTCATTATTATTATTATAATCTTGCCATCTTAAAAAAAAGTTTTGTTATCATTATTTATTTATTTATTATCATGAGTATCCTTATTCTTCATGATACTATATGTTTTTTGAAACTTTAAGTGTATATATATGCCATTGTTCTCTTACATTTATTATTGTTATTGTTATCACTATTTCATTATTTCTTTTTATTTTTGTAGTTTTGTTTGATTAGTAATTAAGTTCATACATTTTTCATTTACTTAGGTTAGCACACATTGGGATTCAAAATTAAAACCCTTCCACCATATTGGTGGGATCTTAATCAAGATCCCTTGCTTAGAAAAATTCATCCGGTATTGTGACTTCACGCAA